ACGGTGGAAGTTTTTGCCAGCAATAGTAGATCACATGACTCATTGGGTAGAGGTGGTACCCACTGTAAAGCCAATGCCAATGTTGTGAGTAAAACACTTCTAGAATCAATCATTCCCTGATATGGGATGGCAAACAGGATTGATTTGGACTGGGGAACTCATTTCACATTGAAGATATTGCAGAAAGTTGTTCAGGCCCTGGGAATAAAATGGGAAGTACACACTCCAAGGCATCCACAGAGTTCTGGTTATGTTCAGAGAATGAATCAAATTCTTAAAAGAGCTCTAGTTAAGATAATGATTGAAATCCAGATGTCATGGATAAAATGTCTCCCTTTGGCCTTATTAAGAATTAGAACTCAACCCCAGTCAGATCTGAGGGTGTCACCCTATGAAAAGATGTTTGGGTTACCCTTCCTGACCTCACCCCAGAAGGCTGCCACCTATGAGGAAGGGGAAGCCAATGCCAAGAAATAAGTTAGGTCTATAGCACAAACCTTAGAAGGACTAAGACATAAAGGGGCAGTTCCTCAAACTACCACCTGGATATCAGAATCTATAATATTAATGCCAGATTCGGTGATGATTAAGCCATGGAGAGATCAGCCTCTAACTCCTCAGTGGGAAGGTCCCTTTCAGGTACTGCTCACCACCAAATCAGCCGTGCGAACTGCAGAGCGGGGATGGACTCAGGCAACAGAGTCAAAGCCCCAGTAGAAGAACCTGAAGAGTGGACTATAACATCAGGCTGGGTGAAACAAGATTGATTCTCAAGCAGAGACTGAAAGACAACCAGAAAAACATCAACACGCCCAAAAGTAGAGTCAAGCTTCTACCAACCAGCTCGAGAACTGTCTTCCTGTTTTCATGGGTGAGAATTACCAGCATCTGTTGAGAAGAAGTACAAAAAGGACTGTAAAAGGCAATAGGACAACTTATTTAGGAAAATAAGACAAAGGAAGGAGGGCAAGACTGGGTTGGCCCCTTTGTTTGCTTCCAAGAAGCCTCTACCCTGCGGTGGGTAGCAATCCGTAGGCATGGTAAGGTAGGGACAAAAGGCCATACCAGACCTCTATCATTCCTCAGTTGTCTTTTAATTCAACAGGCACTGAAGGACAAGACTGAGTTGGCCTCTGTACTCACCCCTAAGATACACCAACTATGGGCAGCAGCCACATAGGCACGGTAGATGGGAGTCAAAGCCATACCGGACCTCTGTGAAGCCCTTTTGTTTATTCCAAAAAAACCAAAATGTGTCTAAGGAAAACCTGAGATTTTTTCTCCTGTTCCCACTGTCCTTGCCCACATCAAGAGATGCTGTTGCAACTCATTCAAGAGAGAGAGAAATTTTTTTACTTAATTTTTCAAGAAAAATGACTTCTAGAAAAGGAAAAGGGGATTGTTATAGATGAGTAATCCTATGGTTGACTAGCACAATTAAGGGGTGAATATTAAATATATGTTAAGAAAAGTTTTGTAGATGTATAGTTATCCTTCCCCTCCCCCTTGCATTGTTATCACAGGATGGCCTCAGTTGTCGGGGCATTTGGGAGGGTCAGCTTGTTACTATGGCAGCACCTGACCTCCAATCAAGGTGTAAGACAGTGATCGCCACCACTGGACAGTGAAGAAGGAGTTGATTGACAAGACTTTGTGAGGGGCTAGAAGTGTAAAAGACAGAACATGCATTTTGTAGATGAGCACGTGGTGACTGAATCCTTTGCTCCTGGCATTGTATTCTTTTCTTTATTCATTCTTTTATTGCATTTTGATAAGGTCTTAATAAACCATTTAAATTTTTGAAAGTGAAAATCGTTTCTAACATGGGGTTGGGGAATGTGGGGCAGGGTTGTCCACACTGGGTCAGCTCTCAAGGTACAACTTCTCTGACCTGGCCAGACCTCCTTGGAAGAGACCCTGGATCAATATCAATCACAGAATGCTGCAATCACCTCTTGTAGAAAAGGAACTGCAGTAAAAGGCACCCTTTAAAATAGGAATACGTATTTCTTAGAAGGTCCTTGAAATATTTCTCCATAACTGTAAAAGGAAACCTTCCTGATGAACTGCTCCAGACCAGAGGGAAATCACGGCAGAGCCATGGTTTGTCAGGACTTGATTGATCCTCATGAGCCTCACTGTGCATTTGGAGTTGAGCCCTTGAACATCAGGGCCTGAGATTGCGCAAACTGTTCTAGGAGTCAAATTCAGAGAAAAAACTCAGAGTGTCTCAGAGCATGAATGGGTCCCACTGAGGTCCATCCCAAACACAGGATCCTCATGGACTCCTTGGAGGAGAGAATTGGAGGCCAGAATTGGAAAAAACACTTCTCAGATATTCAGAGTAGAAAGGAACATCCAAAGTACCGTAAAAACCTTGAGTATCTCAAAGTATTAATGAGCCCCACTGAGTGTCAGTACAAAGCTCTCAAGGGACTCGTTAAAGCAGATAACTGGGGCCATGATTATACAAACCTCTCACAGAGTCTGTATCAAAAGGACAACACCATGTACCTTAAAAGAACTGAAGTACCTTGAAGCATTAATGAGCCCCACTGAGTGTTGCTACTGACGCAGCCTCTCCAGGGACAAATTACAGCAGATAATTGGAGCCCATGATTGCACAAACCTCTCAGAAACTGCAAGGCAAAAGCCAAACCCAAAGTCCTTTGAAAAACCTGCAGTCCCTGGGACCATAAAGGAGCCCCAAGGGCCATTCCTGGCCAAGGCTCCCCAGGGACTCCTTCCAGCAGATCCTTGAGGCCACAGAGATGTGGGCCAGGGGGGGATGCTGAGGGCAGGACAAGGGGCTGAGAGTGCCCAGCCTGGCTGGGGCTGTGCCAGGAGGCCCCAGTGCCTCAGGACAAGGTGTCTCCTCACAGCCCTTGGTGGCACAGACCCTACTGTGCCCCAAGGCATCAGGACTTAGCTCCTCTTTATCCCCACGTGGCATCACTGCCTCCAGTTCTCTGCTCTGCCTGGGGCGTGGGGACACTTTCTCAGTTGTGTCTCTCAGAGGGACCCATTAAAAGTCCAAGAAAGTTTGGAGTTGGATTCTGCCTTAGAGTTCTGGAGAAGTTTCTTCAGCTCCTCCTTCAGGGCCTGAGCACAAAGCCCCAGAGGCTCATTACAGTCCTTGTGCTGTGTCTGTGCTGATGAGCTGGCCTGGGCTCCTGGCACAGAGGCAGCTCCTGGTAACCAAGAAGAGCTTCAAAAGCACATTTCTCTTGATGAGCAGCTCTTCTGCCAGCCCAGCAGGGCTGGGGCACTGCCTGCAGCCACCCCAGGCACATCACAAAGGCACAGAGAGCTTTAATCAGTCAGGGCTGGGAAGGGGCTGAGAAGTGCCTGGGGCAGAATCACTGCCAGCCCTTGGCACAGGAACCTCTGGCTGCAGCACAATGCAGCTGCAGCTCCTGGAGAGATCTCCTAAAGCTGGAACATCCCAATGCCTACAGACTCTGTGAGTACATTCTCTGATTGTGTCTGGTGCAGAGCAGCCAGGGGTACCCAGGGCTGTCCTGCAGAGCAGGGTCCTGCAGAGCCCAGGGCGCTGTGCTGGGGCAGGGACTCTGCTGCCTGCCAGGGACAGCTCTCAGTCAGCCCTGGCAGCTGCTGCCAGCACTGGGGGACAAGATCTGGGTGGGAGGAGACAGCTGGTAAGGCTTGGAACTGTTCTTCTTGTGTGATGGGGATGCTGCATTGGTCAGGACTGCTCCCAGCATGATATTTTGCTGCAGAACATTTCAAAGCAGATTATACAGGGGGAACAGTGAGGCAGGGGATGCATAAAAGGCAAAATCCTGTTTTTTTAATCTCCTGCTCTTGGTTGCCTGGATGGGAAATTGCACATAGATATTTCTCTCTCAGTTCAGACAGTAAAAAATAAAACAAAATTTCCCTTATATCTGAATTAATTGGGCAGTGACAGAAATCAGCACAGGGCCTCTTAAAAGCAGGATCAGTGTCGCTTTTCCAGCCTCTTCAGGGTTGCTCTGATGGTGCCATCAGAGCCTGCAGAGCCAGAGCTGCTCCTGGGCAGTGTGTGAGCTGGGAGGGGTCTGCAGGGCAGAGCTGAGCCCCCAGGGCTTAACTGGGCTCTGGCAGCACTGGCAGGGACACGGCTTTGATAGAGAGGAACAGCTCCCAGAAGGCACACCTCCAGGCACCCAAGAGCCAGACCAACCTTGGATATATTTTCCTTGTCCAGAAACAGAGAACAAAAAGGAGAGGAGAGTTTAGGGAAATTTATTTTGAAATTGGAGTTATCGAAGAATGCACTTTCTTTTCCAAGGAAGTTTTACGTGTGATCACCTTGAAATACAGAGAGTTGTAATGAGCAAAGACACCTGTGTGGGGATCAGCTCGTCTGACTGCACTGAAGCACAGTTGCCCTGTGTTCCCTCTGGGCTCCCCATTGTTCCATATGAGACCAATGCTGAAGATAAAGCAGTAACTTAGCAGCACAAATTCAAACTCATAAAAGATTATAAAGTCCCCTCACATGAAGAGAAAAAATTTGGAGGGGATTCCAAATAAAATAGCATAAGATTGATTCAAAGTTGATCCCACACTGTCAATGTCTTCTTTCAACAGTCCATGATGCCCAGAGTGAAGAAATGTCCAACAACAGCTTCATCAGGCACTTCCTCCTGCTGGCATTGGCAGACACGTGGCAGCTGCAGCTCCTGCACTTCTGCCTCTTGCTGGGCATCTCCCTGGCTGCCCTCCTGGGCAATGGCCTCATCATCAGCGCCATAGCCTGCGGCCACCATCTGCACACACCCATGTTCTTCTTCCTGCTCAACCTGGCCCTCACTGACCTGGGCTCCATATGTACCACTGTCCTCAAAGCCATGCACAATTCCCTCTGGGACACCAGGGACATCTCCTACACAGGATGTGCTGCACAGCTCTTTTTCTTTGTGTTCTTCATGTCAGCAGAATTTTCCCTCCTGACGATCATGTGCTATGACTGCTACGTGTCCATCTGCAAACCCCTGCACTACGGGACCCTCCTGGGCAGCAGAGCTTGTGCCCACATGGCAGCAGCTGCCTGGGCCAGTGCCTTTCTCTATTCACTGCTGCACACAGCCAATACATTTTCCCTGCCCCTGTGCCATGGCAATGCCCTGGGACAGTTCTTCTGTGAAATCCCCCCGATATTCAAGCTCTCCTGCTCAAATTCCTACCTCAGGGAACTGGGGCTTCTTGCTGTTAGTGTGTGTTTAGCACTTTGCTGGTTTGTGTTCATTGTTTTCTCCTATGTGCAGATCTTCAGGGCTGTGCTGAGGATCCCCTCTGAGCAAGGACGGAACAAAGCCTTTTCCACCTGCCTCCCTCACCCGGCCGTGGTCTCTCTGTTCTTCATCACGACCTCATTTGCCTACGTGAAGCCCCCTTCCTTCTCCTCCCCATCCCTGGATCTGACCCTGTCAGTTCTATACTCGGTGGTGCCTCCAGCCCTGAACCCCCTCATCTACAGCCTGAGGAACCAGGAGCTCAAGGCTGAAGTGCGGAGACTGATGACTGGATGGTTTCAGGAACATTAAACTAAACAATTTCTGCAAATCACTCATAATAAAAGTCGTCTTTGATACTTCTTGATGGTTTCATTCTTGGGGTTGCTTTTCTTTCTATTATTTTTTTCATATTGCCTACAAATAAATGTCAATGTTTGTGCCATTTCTCGTGTAATTTCTCTCCACTTTCCCTGTGGCCACAGACTGTATCAATGAGGAGCTGTGCTCTCAGTGGCTTTATAAGGAACTAAAGGATCTACCAGCAGAGTTTTCTGCAGAGATTCCCTTTTGTTACCTTCTCTGGGGCTGCAGCAGCAATGTCTGTGTGCAGAGATGGGGGCAGATCAGTGCTGGCCCAGCAGCTGTGCCCAGCAGCAGCAGCAGCACTTGGTGTTGATATTGCTGCTGCCGTGGCCCTGCCCCGCTGCCCTGCTGGCCCTGGTGTTGCTGTAGGGCCTGAGTGCTCTCGGGGCCAGGCACAGTCCTGGGGGTGGCAGTGCCGGGGCTGCAGCAGGGACAGGCCATGGGCACTGCTGGGGCAGCGCTGATGCCTCAGGCCAGGCCCTGGGGGCTCCAGGCTCCTTGCCCAGGCTCTCTCAAGACCACACCCAGGCCAATGCTCAGCACAGAAAACCCCCATGAGCAGCCCCAGGCTGGCCGTGGGCAGGCTGGGGGCAAACAGCATGGCTGGGGCTCTGCAAGGGCCCTGGGGCAGATAGGAAGGAGCAGCAGAGCAGGGGCTGATCCATCCCCAGTGCGCTGCACAGGCCAGGGTAGCATCCCAGAGCGTCCTCATGGAGCTGCCAACAACATCCCCCCTCTGCAGCCCTGGCCTCTCCCTCAGCTCACACAGGTGCCCCATCCTTGCAGGCACAGACACGGCAGAACTGGCTCAGCAGCCCCTGTTTGCATTGCACACAGCAGGGGGAGCACCCCCATGCTGTTGCTGTGGGGACATGAACCTGAGGGAGCACAAATGCCATCAGCCCCTGGGGCCAGCAAGGGCTGGGGGACAGCAGGGAAACCACTCAGCTTTGTCCTGGCCTCTGCAGTCAGCCAGAAAGTTTGTTCCCATCAGCTGGGACTTTCCTGCAGACGCCCCACTGCAGACGCTGTTGCTCAGAGCCAGGGCTGCCTGGCAGCCACCCCCAAACTGCCCTCAGCATTTCCTTTGCTTCCCCTTTGCTTTCTTTACTCTTCCTCCTACAAATTTCTTCCTGTTGCCCAGCCCTGTTCCCTCCCCTGCAAACAGCCCATCCCTGTTTGCCCTTTTCTCTCTGGCCCCACTCCCCATTGCAGTTCCTGACTTGGCACCATGGGAACGTCCCTTGGGGAGCAGGATCATCCTACAAGTGCTGCAGGAATTGTCTGCAGGCTCCTGCAGTGCCTGGTGCTGCTCCCTTGCCAGAGGCACCCCAGGCCAGGGGGGCACATCTGGGCTGCTGTGTCTGGCTCTGGGGCTCCCTGTTCTGGGCAGTGAGGAGGAGCTGCAGAGGCTCTGCAGGACTGACAGGATGGGCTTTGGGGCTGGCAGGAGAAGCTGAGGGACCTGGGCTGCTGGAGCTCTTGCAGAGGAGTCCCAGGGCTCATTCTGCAACTGCTCCAAGGGTGGTTTTAGAGAATCCCAGAATCAGCAAGGCTGGAAAAACCTTGGAGATCATCAAGCCCAGCCTTTCCCCTGACATCGCCTTCTTTCCACTGAGACTCCTCTTCTCCAGGATAAACAACCCCAGCTCCCTCAGAAACTCCTCACAGGACTTGTGCTCCAGACCCCTCAACAACCTTGTTGCCCTTCTCTGGACACGCTACAGCCCTTCCATGTCCTTCCTAAATTGGGGGCCCAGAACTGCAAACAGCCCTCGAGGTACTGACCAACCAGTGCTGACACTGGGGAATAATCACTGCTCTGCTCCTGCTGGCCACACCATTCCTGATCCTGGTCAGGAGCTATTGGCCCTTCTTGGTCATCTGGGCACATTGCTGGCTCATGTCCAGCCTGCTGTCCATCAGTCCCTGCAGGTCCCTTTCTGCCTGGCTGCTGTCCAGACACTCTGTCCCCAGCTACAGGCTTTTGTGGCCAGGGGTTGTTGTGGCCAAAATGCAGGACCCAGCACTTGGACTTGTTAAACCTCACCTTGTTGGATTTGGGCCCTGGATCCAGCCTGTCCAGGTCCCTGTGCAGAGCCCTCCTACCCTCCAGCAGATCAACACTCCCAGACAACTTGGTGTCACCAAGCTTCCATAAGGCCCCAGAGTGTCCCAATGGTCTGCATGATTCCATGGGGCCTCCCACTGTCACAGTGTCCCTTTGGTTCAGTGGGACCCCTGGGTGTCACAAAGTCCCTTGGATCCTTGGGCCCTGCAATGTCACAATGGCACTGTGGTCCCCCAAGGCCCTGCAGTGTCACAATGGATCCTTGGTTCCATAAGGTCTGGCACTGCAGCAATGCTCTCCTTGGTTCCACAGTGTCACAATGGCCTCTTGGTCCCAAGGGCCACCATGAGGTCAAACATGTTTCCTCCATTCCATGAGTCCGTGAGGAGCAGCACTGGCCCCTTGGTTCCATGGGGCCCTTCAGTGTCACAATGGCCCCATTATGACACCAGGTCCTGCTCTGTCACAATGCCCTGCATGGTTCCACAAGGCCCTGCAGGGTCACAGTGGCCTCTTGGCTCCCTGAGGCCTCAGAGTGCCACAATGAATTCCTTGGTGCTGCAATGTCACAATGGAGCCCTGGTGACACAAGACCCTGCAGTGTCACCAGGGACCCTTGGTTCCATGGGGCACCACAGTGTCACAATTGTTCTCTCAGTTCCCAGACTCCCTGCAGTGGTGCAATGGTCCCTTGATTCTATTGTCCCTAGGGTCTCCCAAGGGTCTCCTTGGTTCTGCAGTGGCACAATGGCCCCTTGGTTCCACAAGGCCCTGCAGGGTCACAGTGGCCTCTGTGGTTCCACCAGGAACCAGACTGTCACAATGGACTCCTTGCTTCCATTCAGCCCCACAGTGTCACAATGGCCCCTTGGCTCTGTGCTGCCATGTCACACACAGTGTCACCATTGTCCCCTTAGTGCCACCAGGCCCCTTGCTTAGAGTCACATTGGCCCCTTGCTTCCCCAGGGCCCTGCAGTGTCACAATCATCGGAGAATCAGCCAAGCTGGAAGAGACCTTTGAGAGCATCAAGTCCAACCTAGCACCCAACACCACCTTGTCACCCAGACCATAGCACTCAGTGCCACATCCAGTCTTTCGTTAAACATCTCCAGGGGTGGTGACTCACCTGTTCCTGATCCATAGGATTCCCAGGGTTTGGATCAGGGAAATGGTGGGTAAGTGGGGGGGACAAAGCATTACTAATCATCAGCTTTAATGCTCTTGATTTTAATATTTATTCACACTGCATTAGAAGGTGCTGGGGGTCAATATCAACTGGACATTGCTGATATCAGTCTATAAACAGGAAAAGAAAACTTAACAGGATAAATCAATTTTCTCTTCATTGTTTTCAATACAGTATATTCAGATTAAACACACTTCAGAAATGTGTCTAATTAACCACAAAAGAATTGAAAATCTAGAGTATTCCCTTTTCTTGTTCAGGCATTGTGAATAAATGTTTATGAGCCTTTTCCCGTCAATTCCTGAACTGAAGAGCTCAAGAAAGAAGAGGCCTCTGCAGTAGGAAAATTCATCATCAAACTCCAAGTGGCTGAGGATCCATCCCCATCAGCAATGAATAGCAATGAACAGAAATGGGCACAGCTTTGTGGCTACCCCAGCTTTGGGATGGGCCCTGGGCTTGGAGCAGGAGCAGCTCTTGAGAGCCCCAAGGCTGCAGCTCTTGTGCTGCCCTGGGCAGATGGGATGGCAGTAGGGGCTGCAGAGCTCTCAGCACCTCAGCCCAAGGGGAGCAGGGCAGCCAGGAAGCCTCCTTTGGCCTTGGCCAAGCACCTTCCCCCATAGCTGGGGCTGAGTCCTGTGGCAGCTGCAGTGTTGGAGAGTTTTTCAAGAATGGCTTAAAGAAAAAGGCCATGAGACATACAATTGAGAGAAAAGTAAAAGGAAAAAGTAAAGCAGTCCTAACGCAGTTCTCAGCCTTCTGATTTCTATAAACAATTAGACTCTCTTTATAAACAATAAAGTTCTCAGGCTGTCTTCCCATAACAAGTAGAACACCGTCTCTGGGAAGGCCTGCCATCCTGAGAACAGATGTAAAAGTTTTGGGAACACTGGTTTCTGTTTTAGTTTCTGGTTTCTGTTTTGGTTTCTGTTTTTAATAAACAATTGTAGGTATTCTAAAACAAAGGGAGTGGTTAGAAATGTCTCTGTTAGCCTATCATGACATTGGATTACAGAATATGCATGAAGTTCGTTAACTTTGTTATTTAAGGTGATTGATTGATCAATAAAATTGGAGTTCGATGCATTAAAGGATGGTCGTCTCCCCTTCATCTCCAACACTGCAGCTGCTGCTGTGCCCTTGCCAGGGGCTGAGGCCGTGGAGCCAGTGCCCAGAGCAGCCTGGCCTGAGCAGAGCTGTGGGGCCAGAGCCGGCTGGGCTGGGCTGGGGAGAGGCCCTTGGTGCTGCCCAGAGCTCAGGGCAGCTGGCAGAGCTTGCAGGGAGCTGGGCTGGGCTCAGAGAGCCTGGCCCAGAAACCATCAGTGTCCATCTCAGCCTGGCTGAGCGGGCAGGGGCAGGACTCAGGCCAGGCCTTGTGGGGCAGGGCCAGAGCCTGTGCAAGGCATTGCAAACAGGCAAGTGGCCCAGAGAGGAGGCTGCTCTGTGTCCTTGGTGGTGTCCAGGGAAAGAGCAGGGAGGAGGCCCAGGACATTTGTCAGCACCAGCCTCTGTACCCAGGCCTTGGCAGCCCTGGCTGCTGAGCCCAGCTTTTGCCTGGACTGAGTTTGGCTGTGGCCCAGCTCCATTCTCCTGCGGTG